ATATATATAGAAGATAAGCGAGGGGCATTTTCTACTAAACAAAGATTATCATAAACTCTATAGGTACCGACTGACAGCCAGTTCTATTAAGCCTTTCTGATGGGTATGCTATTCTGTCGGAACACCGGGTCTGCCCTTTTTTTAGCTTTAACAGTTAGCTGGTTAGTAGCTTAACCCCTAATTTACATTACTTGTGTTCCGTCTCTGATCCGCTGCGCTGCAACCTCCGCAGCAAATACGCACCCATTATAATTGTCATGGTTTGTCTGTTTTCACCTTAGTTTCCCTAGTGTTTTTCTATGTTCCCCAGTGTGTCTCTGTCCAGCTGCTCCCCATGAGTCTGATTGTCACCCTCGTGTTTCTCACCAGGTGTTTTCAGTTCATCTATTAGTTGTCAGTGTATTTAAGTCCTGTCTCGCCTCAGTCTTTTGTCGGTTCATTGTGTTCTGTTCCCCCTGCCTGTGTGAACCTCGTGCATCCTGTAAGTTTGAGCTGTTTCTACAGCAGTTTTTTTGTTACTTTAATAAACCTTTTTTGTTCTACTTTTGGAGCCTGCACCCTGGGTCTGTTCCTGCCTGATTCTGACATAATGAACCGACCAAATACCCAGCCTGCAGGCTCAAAGATTTTTTTAGACATGCAAGAGATTTCCCTGCGATGCAGGAGAAGCATAGCTGAGATGGATGCTATGCTCTCAAAGTATTTCCCTCCGAGAGAAGCGGCTCCTGGTGGATTTCTTCACCCACCCTCCCACCCCACTTTTTTCTTTGTTGCTGGGCCTCCTGAGTCTGTTCCTGGGCCTCCTGAGTCTGTTCCTGAGTTGGTGGTCCCGGAGTCTGTTCCTGAGTTGGTGGTCCCGGAGTCTGTTCCTGAGTTGGTGGTCTCGGAGTCTGTTCCTGAGTTGGCGATTCCACAGTCGGTGGTCTTGGAGTCGGTGGTCCCAATGGTGACTCCTGGGTTGGCGATCCTCGAGGCTCGTGGGTCGACTGCCACAACCTCCACGTCATTTGGGTTGGTTGGTGTCGCTTCCACATCACCTGGGTCGTCTGCCGTCACCTCCATGTCACCTGGGTCGTCTGCCGTCACCTCCATGTCGCCTGGGTCATCTGCCGTCGCCTCCATGTCACCTGGGTCGTCTGCTGTCGCCTCCATGTCGCCTGGGTCGTCTGTCGTTGCCTCCATGTCGCCTGGCTCGTCTGCCGTTGCCTCCATGTCGCCTGGGTCGTCTGCCATCGCCTCCATGTTGCCTGGGTCGGCTGCCATTGCCTCTTCATCCCCTCTGTCGCCTGTGTTCGCCGTCGCCAAGGCTCCTGCTCCGCCAACCTCCGACGGCTCCACGTCTGCTCCCGCCTACTCCCTGGGCTCCACGTCTGCCTCCACCTCCTCCTGGGCCTCGGCATCTGCTCCTATGAGGTTTC